GTCTCTCACTGGTTTGCTTTCAAACCAGCACATCATGGTACTATATTATGGTTACAAGCAGGACTGAGGAAACCCCAGAGGAAATCCCCAGCTGACAGGAACCCTTTCTCACACGGGGCTGCCTTGTGGAACCACTCCCTTGTTTGAAAGGACAAGGGACAGCTAGGTAACCCCAACTTAGTGACAAACAGTTTTACAGTCATTTACATGTTGCTGTTCTGGCTTTATTTAAAGTGCTGTTATCAACAGCTATTTTGTAGATCTCCCCATCCACTAAGTGGAACTTCTCAGCAGAAAGTACAAAATATTATCAATGGCATATCAACACCATTTCTTCTCTTTTCCACTAGCCATTGTTTCAAACAATAAAAAGTAGGCAGCAACCTTGGTCCTAGAAACTGGAAAGAAGTTGCAAAGACTGACTTGAAGGAAAAGGAGCATTTTAAAGAAGACAATGGACACGAGAGGGGATATGACTATGCAGGCAGCCACACGAAAAAAACGTGTCTTAAAGCCTCCTGCAATTTACATTGAACTTCAGTCAACTGTCTTTTTGTGCTCATGGATCCAAGTTACTGTTTTTAACCACCTGCCCCACACTGCTCCTATGACCACTCTTTGCAATCTTTCAGGATGAAAGAGATGAACTAAAAACCAAAAGAGATTTGTCTTTGATGTTTGCAGACACTTTCATCTGACCTTTCCCAAAGTCCTTCACAAAACCACTAATGGAAATAAGGACATAAGAATTGCATAAACCCACCCAAATCTGACTGCAGTTCTAATAAGAGGAAATATGCAATGTATATTTGTTTAAATATGAGGAAAGAGAAACCAGCAAGAGACTTCACAATGAAACCACAATGACAGGTGGTTATCAATTACATCTTATGATATCAGGCTTTTAAGCAAGTCTAACTGGACCATCACCTACATGAAGATGTTTAAAAAAGCTGCTACAGTACTCATCATCACCTCTGCAGGTTACATCTCAAACACTCTCAAGTAAGCGCATCAGTTTTATCAAGGCATTGTGTTCCCAGAACAAAACAGGAAAGCCAGTGTGGTGTCATAACATGAATTCTTGGGGATTGTATCAGTGTAAGGTGTTCCCATGCTACTGCTTCTCTTTACTAGCTCCAAAGCAAAGTATACAGCTCCCTAAATTATTCTGCCACAAACATTTGGGTTGCCTTCATGTTAAGTGTGGGGAGCTTGACTGACTTAAAAAATAATACAGAAACCCTGTCACACCCCAAAGAATAAAGACTTACATCATTTAACTAATTCTATTTTAAACAAATTACTGAGGAAAAAGAATGCAAGGAGAAAACCATCCTGAGGCCATTTGAATCTGATGTATTGACAAGACCTTTCTGCTCTGTAGGAGAAAAGGCATGCATTAGATTT